GTTTCGTTTCTTTTTCTGAACGGCAAATTTTACTTATTTTTAAGGCAAAATAAAACATAGAGACTAGTCTTTAGATTATTATTTTACATTTAATCAATTATTGTCTAAGAATAATTGATAGGAACTTTATCATTTTGCTACACATTAGTACGGTCACTGACTCGACCAAACTTTATATTTACGTTTCCACATTTTGAATAGAAATTAAACGGCAGTCGCGGTAATAATTTATGTGAAGCCTATGTAAGACATAGCTACAGGATATTTAAGACTGAATTATATACATGTGTTGATGTTATTTACAATACTGTTATTTGAATATATGACAATTTAATTTATTAACAGTTTAACACTAATTAAAATTAGTAAACTGTGAACAGTCTTTCTTCTTTGTGACTCAATTTTAATCTTAAACTGGCGTACCTCCAGAAGTAAGGAAGTGTTATCAAGTACTGTGGAGTACAGTGTCCTAGCCATACAGCCATACTAGCCCACTATTGACAGATGTCGTTATAGCATATTTCAGCCAAATAGATCTATATAGACTTTGACAGTCATCTGAATCAAGTATCAACAGTCCCCCTAACCCTAACAATTTCTATTTTATATAGAACATTGTTATAATTTGTGATCGTTTCATTGTTCGTAAATACAATATCGTTCTCTACAGTCCAGTACGATTATTGGTCACCAAGTCTTGAGCACGTTACCACATTTTTAAGAGGATTAAAGGGGCCTGGTACCACATAGCTGGACCGTAGCGTAACAGTATGACCTTGACTTTTGAGGTAGGTACGTGATTCATAGACGCGACACATCGTCTTGATGTGGAAGACATTTATGCCAAGTAATTCTAAAATCCTTTGATGCATGACAAAGTTACAGTCCGGACACAAATGTTTGTACCTATAAACTCAAATTGTGATAAAGTGAACTTCAAAATGGTAGTGTGACCTTGACTCTTGAGATAGGACGGATTTCCTAGACGTGGCACATCGTCTTGATATGTAAGACATTTATGCCTACTTATTTTGAAATCCTTCAATGAATGTCAAAGTTACAGTCCGGAAACGTATGTGTGTACATATTAACTATATTAATTTTGTGATAATGTGAAACTTCAAAATGTAAGTGTGACTATGACCTTTGAGATAGAGACGTGGTTCTTGAATGCGACACATCGTCTTGATGTGGTAGACATTTGTGCTAAGCTATATTTCAAAATCCTTCAATTTATGACAAAGTTACAGTCCGGACACGAATGAAGTAGGGACGCCAAGACAGACATACATACAGACAGACGGACAGACAGACGGTGCGATTTTAATATGCCTCCCTTCGGGAGCATAATAAAAGTTTTTGTTTCAGCTAGCCAAAATATTGTATTGCCAAAAAAATATTTGTGAACAATTTTGAATCATTATTCATTTGAGGCAAATTGTTTCTCTGGCAAAATAACATAAGCCTCATAATTAATTATCTGGACATAATTTCACCTTAGTGCAGAATACACCACTCCTTGCGACAATCTTAAACTAGGAAATATATTTGAATTATCCTGGTCTTAAGGCGACCAAAAATGGTTTTGTATAGCACGACAATTGTGTACTTCGCGTTGTGTCTAGTGGAATTTATTACAACAGCACAAGTTTTGATAGAACACTAATTCAAATCAACTTTCAAACAGTTCTTTTATTTCTCGGTTAAATAAGTCACTTATTCCGCGATTACAAAACATATATATCAGACAAAATAGCTCTCCGTTTCTTAATATAAAAAGCGAACAGAACAGTACGTAGCTTAAATGAATAAGTCAAAAAAAAATTCAAGCCGCCCTGACGCTGAATTGGCAAACTTGATTTAACGTGAACTAAACAGTTTCACCCAGAAGTGCGCACTTTGAGACAGCGCGAGCCTATTTTATGAAGTTCAATTAATTATGCAGGTCATCGGGGTTAATTAATCATGCATCCATATTTTGACCAATCGGATCGGTTTAACCGATGTACGCACGTCTCATGAGCTGAAACCCCGGCTATAAAATATCCCATATTTAGAAATGACCGAACTTTTGTGCAAAATAATGCTGACTGTATTTCTTCCTGGTCATCAGTCGTGCAGGAGGCGGAAATACAACAAACCTCCCGGCCGCAATAAGTCACAAATAACTTACATGTATGAAATATGCGCATTTGCATGACCATTTCAACTAACTACCATGTATATACATGAGGCATACCGTTATATAGTGTTATACATGTACCAGTATATTTACCAGAACAAAGCAATAGAAACACATTATACCTCTTTTTGTTCTGTCTCAAGGACAGTAAATTTTCTTCTTAATTCTGTATTTTTTTTCTCAGCTTCCTCCTTATCTTTGGTCCTCTGTGCTTTAAGTTCAGTTAATTCATTTTCAAGTCCCTCGTGTTTCTCTGATAATTTCGTCATTTTTTCTTTGATTTGTCTCAATATTTCTTCAAATCCTTCTGTAGTAATAATGAAGTCTTTCTTCTTCAGCTGATGAAAAAATATCAATTTTGTTACAAAATAATCTTTCTTCTTCCTTTGTTTAAAATCTATGACTTTTCTGAGGACTTTTAAAATCCACTTTTCAACAGGTATCTGATAGTCAGACTTTTTAATTTTCAACATATTGTTTTTCTTACATATATTAACAAACTAAAATACGGTATTTCTTTCTCATATTTTAACATTTTGTAGGTATTTTCATTTGATTTCATCAAGATATGTTAACTTAAGACAGTTGTTATTTAAATTTGACTAAAATTAATTAACCACTTCGAGCACTTTTTTTACTTAACTCTTTTAATTTAGTAAAATGTTCTGATTTTAAATTATGATAATTAACTGTTTAAAGATTTCAAACTTATTATTTATTATGTACACTTACATCTTGAAGTTTCCCAACAGCTTGTTGTGCATCTTGTTGATGTACAAGCTCCTTACCATCTTGAAGAACAGCTATCATGTCGTCAATGTTTGAATTCGCCTTACTTTCTTCTAACTCAATACTGCTAGAGTGAAAAATCTCATTTCGATACTGCCGTACCTAATATACAGAAAACAAATAATGCAACATTCACATAGATACATTGTTCAGCAATGAGACTAAACACAATTCTTAAGTTGAGAATTAAAACTGTAAGAATGAGTTACTTTAAAATACTCCAATCACATAATTCCCTTAAATTGTGTTTAAACCGCAGATTATATAAAAGCGAATGGTATAGAAATGGCTTTTAATAAATGTTATAATTATTTTACTGAAGTAACCGTATTTACTTGTTGCATTTGCTTATAAAGCACAAATAACCTACTTCTGTACATTTTACAGTGAAGCTTAAAATAACAAAAGCTGACACTCAAGTGACAAATGCCCCCGAAAAGGTTTCTTGAGCATTCAGGTATTATGGAAACAGTCATCGATTTTAGCACTTGCCCGGTGGTCAATAGCCATGAAAATTTGTTCGGGCCAGTGTAAATTTTAAGAAAATTAAGTTAAATATATAGTAAATTTAATTATAAACTGGAATTCTGGCCAGTAAATTCAAAATCTTAAATTCATTGACTGTGAAAAGAAAAGAGAATAAAAGTAACTAATTGCTTAATATTGTTTTTGTGAAATGAAGTGCAATTTTTAGCAGACTTAACACCTTGGGACAAGGGTCATGGATGTGGCACAACATCTTGATGTGGTAGACATTCATGCCAAGTTATTTTAAAATCCTTCAATGCATGACAATGTTACACTTTGGAAACTAATGTGTACCTTCGAACTCTTCTTATGAGCATAACTACCTTCAAACTATTAGAGTGTCCTTGACCTTGGAGGTAGGAACATGGGTCTTACACATAACACGTCATCTTGATGTGGTAGACATTTGTGCCAAGTTATTTTAAAATCATTTGATGTCTAATGCCAAGTTTTTTTTAAATCTTTTGATGCATGATAAAGTTATAGTCAGGACACAAATGTGTGTACTTATAATCTCTAATTGTGATAGCATGAGCTTCAGAATTTAAGTGTGACCTTGACCTTTGAAAAAGGACGTGATTCTTGAACGCAACAAAACATTTTCATGTGATAGACATTTGTGTGTAGTTAATTCAAAATCCCTCAATGCAGGACAAAGTTACAGTCTGGATTGTTGTGTAAGTAGGGACGGACAGACGGACATGAGCTTTAGCCACGACACATTGTCTTGATGTGGTAGACATTTGTGTCAAGTTATTTTAAAATCCTTCCATGCATGACAAAGTTACAGTCCAGACATGAATGTGATAATGAGTACCTTCAAGCTATTAGTGTGACCTTGACCTTAAGGGTAGGGACAGGGGTCTTGAACGCGTCTTAATGTGATTGACATTTATGCATAGTTATTTTAAAATTCTTTAATGCATGACAAAGTTACAGTCCGGACACCAATGTGTGTATCTATAAACCCAAATTGTGATATAGTGAACTTCAAAATGGTAGTATGACCTTGACTTTTGAGGTAGGAACGTATTTCTTAGACGTGACACATCGTCTTGATGTGGTAGACATTTATGCCTACTTATTTTGAAATCCTTCGATGCATGACAAAGTTACAGTCCGGACACGAACATGTGTACCTAACTTTATATACCTTATATACTTTAACTTTATTTGTGGAAATGTGAAACTTCAAAATGTAAGTGTGACCTTGACCTTTGAGATAGGGACGTGGTTCTTAAATGCAACACATCGTCTTGATATGGTTGACATTTGTGCCAAGCTATTTCAAAATCCCTTAATGTATGACAAAGTTACAGTCCGGACACGAATGAGGTAGGGACGCTAAGACAGACGGACATACAGAAAGACGGACAGGCAGACGGTGCGATTTTTATATGCCTCTCTTCGGGGGCATAATAATAGTTTTTGTTTACCACCCACAAAAATTACAGCTAGCCAAAATATTGTATTGCCAAAAAATTATTTTTGAACAATTTGAATCATTATTCATTTGAGTCAATTGTTTCTCTGGCAAAATAATATTAGCCTCATAATTATCTGGACATAATTTCACCTTAGTGCAGTAATGGGTTAACTCCTATACAAAAAATTCAATAAAAGTTAACCAAAAACTGCACTAAGGTAACAATAATCTCTTGTACTTTTATACTCAATTAACGGACTAAATCTTACCGTAAAAGCTTAAAATTAATATACTACAAAATTTAAAATAAACATATAGTATACAAAATTAATGGAGTTACCTTTAAAACAACATTATTTGGTCCTGTAACATTGCATCCAATATGACTATGAAAATATGTGTTATTTATGATAACATGAAGTAACCCTGTGCTGTCGGTGTCTACTGCTGATGTCTTGTCCTTGTACCCAGGAGCTTTTATAAAACATTTGGAAATGCTCCAAGGGTCTGTCGACCACTGTTGCGCATCGCTGTTTTTCCAGTTAGGTGCAGGTGGAGTAGAGGCATGATGGTTCACAATATAGTCATAGATGCCGCCACATATGTTGTTCGGACAAGCAATTTTGCCCGTAAAGCAACAGTTGCATTTTACTTGACCAAGAGGACAAACTTTGTTTCCAGAATTCCTTACTGGCTTATGGTCTGGTTTGACTGTTTCAACGTGACATTTGTCACATGTCACAGTTGATGGAAGTGATTTTGAAGACAGAATGATTTGTAACATATCCTTATGTTGTTGGTGAGCTATGTCATTACAGAATTGTGTCAATCCCTCCTTTAAATAATTAAGTCCTAAAACAGCCTTTAACCATTGTTTGATTTTTTCCACGTCAAAGTGACGTTGATGTGTCATCCTGATTTATCAATTTCTAAACAAAACAAAAAAAACAAAGTTATTTATCTTATATTTTATATAAATAAGTAAACAAGGTCTTGGATTGCAATATTAAGTCCAAAATATCAAATAAATATGATATGGGTGGCAGCGTTCCTAAACTAAATCAATTATAGGGACAACAAACTATTACAGGCATGATGGGATTTTTTTTTCATCGGATGATAATTATCTCTGGACAGTTGATATTAAACTTAAATAGAAGCATGTGCTAGATACATTGTGACCATTATATATATGTTAGACATTTGCATCCATCTTATAAAATGCGCATTTTGGCAGTAAATAAAAACACAGTAAGTACCAGAAATATAAGCTTGAATACAGGAATTTGAAAGCAGAGGTAGAAAAAAGTGTTACAAGTTTATCTATGTTTCTTGTTTTCTTTCGAATTTGTTGTTATTGTTACAGTTCAGAAATTGATAAGAAATTGATTAGGTTATGATCAGATACTGGTTAGATTATAGTCAGATATTAGTTAAATTATGGTCAAATATTGTTTAGATAAGGGTCAGAAACTGATTAGATTACGGTCAGATATAGGTAAGATTATGGTCAGAAAAACTGGTCGATTGATTTAATTACGGTCAGATATTGGTAAGATTATGGTCAGAATCTGGTTGCAAATTGGCAGACAAATTAATTAGATTTTTTGGACATAACTGGACATTCAGTCCAGTAATCTTGGAAGAAACACTGGACCGGATCAGTCTTCCCTGAAACAAATAAAATTCAGGAAAAACTAGAAGCGTTTTTGTCACAAAAACATATGTCTCCCAAAACCATGTATGGTCACTCATTTAAATTTTCTGATTGAAACAAGTAGATTGACATGTGAAGGCTGGTTAACATTTTTCTATTTATAGCTCTGACGGTCATTTTGTGCAGCAAAGCGGAACCTGCCAATGATGTTCAAAACTAGGGATAGTTCTGATCATTCCTGTTAAATTTGGTTTGAAATCCCACAAGAAATGTGGGACAAGATTTTTCTATTTTTAGCTCTGGTGGCGATTTTTTGCTGCAAAGGGGGAACGTGAAAGTCTTGGGCAAAACTAGGGATGGAACTGCAGATCACTCCTGTAAAGTTTGGTTGGAATATCATCAGTAGTCAGTGACCTGTGAAGCCCAAACAAGAATTTTCTATCTTTAGCTCTTGCGGCCATTTTGTGCAGCCAAGCGAAACGTGCTAGTGTCTAGTGATGTGCAAAACTAGGGATGGTACTGATCACTCCTGTAAAGTCCCACCATTAGTTTGACCTGTGAAGGCCAGACAAGACTTTTCTGATTTTAGCTCTGGTGGCAATTTTGTGCAGTGAAGCAAAACATGCCGGTGATGTGCACAGCTAGGGATGGTACTGATCACTATTATTAAGTTTGGTTGAAATCCAATCAGCAGTTTCACCTGTGAAGGCCAGACAAGAATTTTCTATTTTGAGCTCTGGCGGCCATTTTGTGCAACCAAACGGGAAATGCTGGTGATGTGCATAAGTAGGGATGGTACTGAACACTCCTGTAAAGTTTGGTTGAAATCCCACCAGTAGTTTAACCTGTGAAGGCCGGGAAATATTTTTCTATTATTAGCTCTAGTGGCCATTTTGTGCAATGAAGCGGTGTGAAGTGCTGGTGATGTGCACGACTAGGGAAGGTAACTGATCACCCCTGTAAAGTTTGATTGAATTCCACACTATGAGTTTGACCTGTGAAGGCAAGACAACATTTCTCTATTTTTAGCTCTGGTGGCCATTTTGTGCAGCCAAGCGAAACATACCGGTGATGTGCATAACTAGGGATGGTACTGATCACTTCTGAAAGTTTGGGTAGTTTGACCTGTCAAGGGCGAACAAGATGTTTTTATTTTTAGCTCTGGTGGCCATTGTGTCGGCGAAGCGGAACGTGCCGGTAAAATGTGCACACCTAGGGATGGTACTGATCAAACCTGTAAAGTTTTGTTGAAATCCAACCAGTAGTTTGACCTGTAAATGGCAGACAAGCTTAATGCGGACGGATGGACGGACGGACGCGAATGCAAAACAATATGACTCTCAAAATAAAAAAAAATATGAAAAAAATATTTTGGTATATGACATATGACCAAGACCTGCTTATATGATATTATGATTATTATATAAATTGTTACAACTTTCAATAAACTTTAAATACTTATTTACTTATAAAACATGATGTGGTGTTTCTCTTATTGTAATGAAGAATAAGGTCAACCAGTACTGTGCATGTAAATTGGAAATTTGTTATCTGGACCAATGTAAGTCATAGTTTTCACAACCTTTAAGATGTTTCTGACAGCTTAAGCAAGGTCTGAAGACTTTTCCTAAGCTTTGCTCATTCAAAGAAATGCCACCAACTCAACTTAAATGGTCGCAAAAATAAACGTTTTTTTCCACCGGAAGTAAGCATCTCCTTATGAGCCATGGTATACGGTATATTTTTCATGTATGTAAAATTGTTTGTAAACCAGTTTTATCTTTGTAACAGATGTCCTATTCGTTTTTAAGTATTAAAATATTTTTGATAGTGTGTTTACATGGGCGTATCATATTGGGGTGCAGGACCTGACCCCCAAGCATCTGCACAGGGGCTTCTGTCATTATTTTCTTTTCCGCGACTATATGTATAAAGTGTTCTGACAAAGGTTACAAAAAAGGAACAAATATCTTATTAAATAAAAAAAGTTGGGGACATTTTGAATATCAATAAGACATCAAAAGTTTAAAGAAAAGATTAACTGATTTTATTTTGATTTTAATCTTTTTATGATGTTATGAACACTATTTGCATATGTACATCACCACTGCTTGTGGACAACTGACTAAAACTTAGAGTTTATTTAAATTCAATTGTTCAACAAACTGTAACTTGTGAATAACTGGAATGTTTATAATTATTATTGAATTATATGAATAACTTTCTCATCTTCTCACTCCTCCACACTTCCAATGCCCTTTAAAAGTTAGAGTCTTTCATTGCACCACCTTCAAGTTTCACAGTCATGACATCATTAAGATAACAGTCTCTGGAAGAAGTCTATTTCTCAATGGAGTTTTAGTTTGGTTTTGTGCACTAAACCCCCTTTCACAATCAAAAGTATGAATGGGAGCGGTCAATGCCAAAGAAGCTAATTTCAGAAGGTCTGGATAGTCCTCCTTGTGGTGTTTATAGATAAGATTCCATAAAACAGCCATCTTGTCCCTAGGGTAGCCTTCCTGGACTACTGTCTCTTTCACCTGAGACCATTCTACTCTTGTTTGACTAGGATTGATAGTAGGTGTTTGGGTAACCTAGGGCTGTTCTTCTGTTGGAACTGATGCTTTCTCTTCTCCATACTGTTCAATTAATATGTCAATCTTGTCATTTCCCCAATTCATTCTATCGTTAATAGATAAGAATGTGATGTGTCTCATTCCTAGAACTGCAAATGCATTAAATAACATTTGTAAAATCATCTGGGAACCTGTCATTCAGCTTCTCAAGAATTTTATCTATAAATTTTGTTTTAATGGAATCAATGTTCTGCTTGCCATGCACCAAATGATTTCCTTTAAAGATAAGCCTCCCACCACTCACACTTAAATAATCATTCTGCAGCTGCTGTAGATATGACCCATGTTCTCCATTTTATCTTCACTAATTCAAGCTATAGCTTGATCAATTACAACTTTCTTCTGACAAACATCTAAATCTGCTTTTTGGAAAAGTAAACACATTTGTGATACAATGAGCAAAACATCCATCAAAAGATAGGTACTGGCAATTAAGTCTTGGGTTGAAAGCTTCTTTCCATAACCCTTTGCCATGGCATCTTTGTCCTCTGTGAAGTAAGTGATGAGAAAATCCAATACAGTTTATACTGTTTTAACTGCAATATAAGTACTTAACCATCTCACCTCATGAACTTCCTTTACTTTCAATGATGGCTCCTCAAGAAGTTTCGGAATTTTAGTCAACTGATGACACCTCTTAGCAGATGCTTTGAAAAAGTAGTAGAGTCCTGTCAAAATTGTCTGATATTCAACTAAATAAGG